ACGCCGAGTGTAGCATTTATTAGACACCTCTGTTTATTGCTTCACAACCCACTGGAGAATTGCACAAATGGCAGGAAGCAAAACCGAATGCCTAAAAGTATGCCGTGATTGTAGAGTAAACGGAGTTACTACTTCTGTTGTTAGAATTATCCGATTTATTTTAAATATGCACCAATTTGAAGCTCAACGAAACTCTTCCCTTTAACAGCTAAAAGTGTGGCAAAAGGGAATCAGTTGGTGTGAGGTCCAATTCTTGTCAATAAGGTCCGAATGAAGAGTCTCGTCATAGAGCAGTAGATTATTGTGTATGATTCATTACCGATACCACCAAGTACCCAAAACAAAGTCGTTCTGCCATCACTTCCCGGGTTGTAGGCAATTTCTGCCGACTCTTTGTCCTTCAACCATGAACCAAGAGGTTTAACTCAGGTGGTGCTCATACATCGAGCATCTTTGTGTAACTAGCCTGTTTCAAGTGGCTCCAAACTGCTTTTTGCTCAAAATTTAGCTTCTGGGCAATCAAAGCAGTACTCGCATGTTGGTCACACTACACGATTTGCATTATTTTATCGACAGTTTCGACAATTGGCCTATCACAATATATGGATCGTAATGGAGCATCTTTTACATTGAAGTTATCGCATCTCGGCTTTGCTGTTGTCCACCTTTGACAGGCGCTCAAACACTACCGAGCTAAATGCTGAACTTTTCTCCCGTTCTTCTTTTCAGTAGAAAATATCATCTTACTGTACACAGCATTAAAGCCACTGAGGCCGAGCTCTTCCTTCAATGTATGATATGCATCTTGATGTTTTCCTACATTGTGAGGGACCTATAGTCTCTCCAAGCCACCTCCGAGCGTCCAATGAATTTTCATGAGGCGATATATTTCATGTCAGAATTAAAATCAGAGGACTTGAGATTTCCTGCCACAATTTGTAAAGTTAATTTTCTATTATTTTAATTGTTTGTCGAACCAGGACTCGGACTCTGACCTTCTGAATAACAGTACGCAAAGGGGACCACTCGGCTATAGCGGCTAAGAATAGACCAGTACATTTTCTTTAAGGTTATATTATGTATCCAATTGATATAAAACTTAGTGTTGCATACATTTAGGCGCAAATATACACAATTAAATATTATATTATATAAAAGCACATTTTTACAACTTGGGGTTTTTAATAACCGCAAATTGTAATAAAATATTTAAATATATTTAAAAAAAAATTAATTTCATATATTTTACCCACCCCAAAATAAAATTTCACCACATAACGCGCAGTAAGTTCAAATATAGGTATTTTAAACATAAGAAAAAATATGCAATCGTTTGTATATGTAAATGGTTATGTCGAAAACATATTTTCTCTTGCCGAATTTTTACATCATATTATTTGTTTTTCTTTTGTTCTGAAATGCAAAATGGTATTTATTGTCGGCATTACAATATTCATAAATTATTTTGTTAAAAATTCGTGACTGCTACCATGACATTATTAGTTAGTTTTATTGAAGATAATTTGAAAAAAAATATGCAAAATATTTTCATTTGAGTTTATTTTAATTACCGCCGAAAATTCTCACAGAAAAATAAATATTTACTTGCCCTATTTGCATACAAGCGAGTAAATATGCCAAAGGTATTTATTATGGCAAAAATGTAATGGATGTTAATGTCAAAAATAAAACTATTCACATGTCAACAAAATTACGAATTTGCAATGAAATACCATGACAGCGTGAATTCAAAACTTTTTTTTCCATAATACATTTGAGTTATTAAAGATGAAATGAAAAAATTAGTCTGATGGAATGTTTGAAAGCATTCGAATGTAAATATTTTGATGTGGATGTGATAAATATTTATTTAGCACTTTCCATTGAGGTTCAAGTATAGCATTTAAAAAAAATATAACATATATATATATATATATATGTGTTTGTATATGCTTATTTGAAAAAGTCGGAATTATGATTTTCCTGGAATTTTTCGTGATTTACATTGAAGTTAAGTTAACAGTGAATTACAGCAATGACTTTTTTGTATTTTCATAAATATTTACAACACATATTTGCGCTAACGAGGGCTGCCATTTATATATTGGGATGAGCGCAAGTCACTTTCTTGTCTTTCAAACTATTCTCCATCAATAAAGCTATATACTCGCATACAAACATAATATATTAATCCAACACCTAAGCCACTGATCGTGGAAACCAGAAGTTTGAAGGAGGGGTTTTTTTATGTATGACGTAGGCATCGAACAGAAAATGATTTTCCGAAATGTAATTGAATTCATTTTAAATATATATGAAATTTTCGATTTACATGTAATTTTGTAAATTGTCACGCGAATCACTTTTCCTTTCGAAAAATGGACCTTTCACCGAACTAATCGCTTCGATACTTCGGTTTTCCTTATGGTCAGGTTCCTCCGTGAAACGTATCATTTCGCTCGACCAATCGACACTAGCCATATTTTGAGCGATTGAAAGTTGCCCCAGAGAATTACACGCCCTCCGAGTGTGTTTCTAACATGAAATTAAGGCATCTCATGAAAGTCCGTTAGCCGTTCGGAGGCGGCTGAGAATAAATTGGAGATCCCTCTATGTATTGTCATAACAACAAGAGCAAGGAGGAGCTTGGCCGAAAATCACTTCAGTACATAAATTAGAATAATATAAATTTTCAAGTTGGTTCAAATAAAAGTTCCGAATATGTAGCCTTGGGAAGATGCGTACTCCAAGGCAGGTGGGCTCAGCGCTTTAAACTTCAATCGCGTTTTTCTCGAAATTGTGTCTTCAAAGTCGGTAAGCAAAAGTACTCGAAAACTGCTCAACTATTCAGGATAAAATTTTATTTACTTTTATGTTTAAAAAATAATGTTGAGCAAAATTTACCTAAATTTTCATTTTAGAAAAAAATTTCAGAAGAAAAATTCTTCAAAATTCTATTCTCACTTTTTGCCTTCCTTCGTCAAAATTAATGGTTCATGGTTTTAATTAATACAGCATTTTTTTCAATTCGGAATAGCCTGCCCTGAGTTCGGTTTTTGATGCAAATACAACTTTTTTCGGTGAGGTTACCGGAATTGACCTTGCAATGTCGGAGCTATGAATATTTCTGATTTCAATTCATATTTAAATTTTGGTATAGAAATAAATTTTATAACAATTTTAATGTGGAACACACACAAACGTACTTATAATAAATGAAAATCGTCTAATATTTGAAGCCATTGCCGACCAAACATCCAACTAATGGCAACATTTCACATTTGACAGTTAAATATTTCATTAAACCGTTGAATGTAGGGGAAACACTATTAGTGTAATCCACACATACATACATACAATGCAAAAATATTTGAAAATTATATTTTAAAATATTTACTAAACTGGCATTGTATTGGCAATAGAAAAAGCCGCTCGCGGAGGGTAGGCAGATTTATTCTAACGACATAAAGGATTGTGGATAATTATTATCACATTCATACTGAATAATTAATTGGCAGCTGCGTACTGCACATGTAATTTCAGCAAATGAAATGCAGGAAATACCAACGCACGTATTGAGCTGCTCGGCTGCCGGCTCCGAAGAGTTTATATATTTTTTACTTACTATTCTTTCGAGCGTGATTTCCACATACCGAAGTGATGAAGGACCACTAAAAAGCCGGAGCTTAATATTAAAGCCATAGAAAAAGTTTGCGGTCAAGCACGTTTGGCTTGTTTTTAATTGCAGGAAGTAATGATTAATTACATAATAATAAATTTTTTAAAAAATAGAGTTATCCATTTTATGGTTTCGAAAATACAGAGCAGCCGAGAACCCTCAAATAATAGAAGAAACCACGTTACATCCAAAAAATCTTACTATCTGTTGCCCTCGTTGGTCCGAAGGAGTGATTAGATCTTACTTGCACCTTACTTAGACTGGCAATCTTCATTCGGAGCGTTGCTCGCATGATAACCGACTTTCCTTCACCTTAAATTGAAGAACGCGACTCGACCAATAAATGATTTTAACGAACTGGTGCCAAATGCCACAAAAAGAAGAGCGAATAACGGCGACAAAACTTTTCCGGCCACGTAATTTCTTCTTGGCGATGCCTATTGGCCACCGAATTGACACCGTTAGACTTTTTACTTTGTGCGGCTACGTGAAAGATCGTCTTTTTGCGGATAAACCCTTAACTTTTGACCACTTACCGCCCAATATGTGCCAAGAAGTGGTCGAAAATAACCGCAAACGGAACGAAGTTTGTAAAAATTGACGCGGCAATCATTTGCCGCAGCGAGCTTCGAACCGTAAATCTCAAGTCCAACAGTCATAACCGCTGGATCTTCAAATTATAAGAAAAAAAAATTATTTCAGTTATGGTTAATGATGAAATATCATTTGGCATCCCTCACCCATAACCCAATTACTTCAGGAGAAAAAATATTTTTTTTATGAAAAAGTTGAACTTTTTCGACTTTTTTTTTTTTTTTTTTTTTTGTAAATTTCATCAAAATATTTTTACTCATTGTAAGGATTTTTTCTTGCATTAGAAAAATTGTTTTAAATTTTTGGCAAGAAAATTGTGTATTTGTGACTTTACCTCTATATAAAGCAACCTTTACGTATTTACAGTTAATCAAGTTTCTAATGAAAATGGAAATGCCTTCAATACGCTTTTCGATTAACTAATAACTGTGTTATAGTGGAAATTTGACAAATTCATAGAATTAATTTTCGATATATCGTTGTTGTTGTTGTTGTTGTTTACATTATCTATTTCTACCCATACATCTCTATACTACGTTACAATGTACTGTTATACGATTTTACGGTTATATTATTATAATAGATATATTTCTATCTTACTCATACATACATATGTATGTGTGTATGTATTTATATATGTATTGTATGTATGTATAATAGACAGCTACACTATCTACAACTTATGGCATATTTTAGCATAAGAACAAAACAAAATTGTTGAAATTAGTTCGGCCCATCATTTCAGGTGAACATCCGGAGGCAATGCAAACCGGCTCATCCGGCTGTCAGTTTAGTTGGCTAACAATTTTCCTGCTCGTCGCGATGGTGTTGCTATGCGATCGCCAACAAAACTTCATTGTACTAGCGACTGCTGTTGGCGGTCCTGGTGGGGCTGCAGATGGTGGGGGGCGCACAATGAAAGCGTCAACAAAAGCTGTTGTTAAAACAGCAGCAGCAACAACAACAAGAACCGTACGAAGTCAAGCAGCCACTGCAATGGCGACAAAATCAAATGTAGCAGAGTGTTTGGTTGCAGTTGTAGCGGTAACTGCAGATAAAAGCATGCCCGCTGCGTTAACAGCAACAACAACAATAGCGCGTACAGCAACAGCAGCAACAACAGCGGCAGCAACAAAAGAAACAGTTGTACGTCAATTGCTGCATATACGGCAAACAATAGTTGGTGTTGCAATAGCAACAACAAAAACCGCTGCATGCAATTACACATTGAGTGATAAAAGCACAGTAACAACAACAACAGCTACTACTACTACTACTACTAGTACTACAACTACAACTAATACTACGGACTTAGCAACACTTGCAACAGCACAGAACGTGTTGTTGGCTCTACTGCGTAGCAACAGCACAGTGAGTGCAGCGACAACAACAAAAACAATGTGGCTAAAGAAGCCTACGACTGTCTCAACTACACCCAACATAAGTCAAATAGCAACAGCAAAAGCCGCAACAGCAACAACAAAAACAACAACAATAGCAACAACTAACTATTGCCATGCAACGAATATGCCCACCAGTCCGTTGGTCTGCAGCTACATAAACAACAGCAACATAGCAGATAGAATAACAATCGCCAATGCCAGTCAGCTTGCAGTAGTAAGCTGTAGATACAGCACCAACAACAACAACAACAATAATAATAGCAAGAACATTGACAACGATATTGCTGACCTCGACAGCAGCTACAGTAGTTCCTGCCGCAACAGTCCGAAATTTACTAAGCCCCAAATCATCGATTGTTACGATATCATAAACAACAATAGCAACAACAAAAGTAATGAACAACAACGAAATGTCAAAATATATAAGGCTTACACTGGCATACCCACATGGTCAACCTACACCAATCAATGCGCCCGCTTGTTGTCGAGTTGCACCAACGGCACTGACACTAGCACCAATACCAACGCTAACAGCGACAGCGGCATCAACAGCCGCAGCCGCATCCGCAGCGGCTTCAGCCACCATCATCATCAGCATCATCACCAGCAGCAGCAGCATCAGCACACGGCGTGTCACAGCGAATGCTTCGAAAGTGTCAGATGATGTGTCTGCATTTGTGGCATGCAACAGCACAAACAGCAGGCAGTCCATTGATAACGGTAGTTATGTAAAATGGAAAATTCTCATTTTAATGCCATTCACATTTCTGCGTTCAGTGCAACAGAACAACAACAGCAACTGAGCTCTTTATAACGAAATACATAAATGACTGACGCTTAGGCGTATGTACATATATTTGCATATGTATTTATGTATACATATGTGTTTTGTATGCAAAATGCATCACGCATACTACTACGTACGCACAACAGAGACAAAAGTCGAAGAACATGTAGAGAAAATGAGCTCAGTTGACTGCCGAATTGCGACATTGAACTTTTAATGCGAAACTGTGGAGAGCTCTACGCTCTAACGGTAAGCAGAAAATTTAACATCTAACTAATGCGTGAATCACTGCGCCTAGAACTGTACTACAATTTACAAATATAATTTCTACTTCCAAGAAAATTTAGTTTGATTGTGCAGCTGAGCCTGGGCGGCTTATGCGGCATAGTTTCAGGCGCAGCATTTGCCTGCGAGTGAGGTGATAAATTTTGTGACAGTTGTCAGAATAGAGTTGAAAGCAAACAGAATACCGAAAAGTAATGACACTTAATGCTCTAGAATATATTTAAAAATTTCATATAGAATGGCGTAGTATATATGCCAGCTAGAAGTATCTAGAAGTGAAGGTCAATAATTTTCTTTTTATATAATATAGAAAGTAAGTTAAGGGGTTATATCCACTTGTAAGTCCAGCAAGGTGAATTAAAGAATTTTCGATAAAATTTTCTTTTCAAAGTAGTTTAAACCCTGCGAGCTAAAGGTGTAAGATTCACCTTCAATCCGTGGCTGACAAGAATATCTAAGAAGACAATGTGAAAATTGCAAACCGATCCGCCCAGCCGTTTTGGAGAAATTTTCCTCACCAACTTTGAAAACACCATTTTCATTTAACTTCCGGCTTACGCTTTGCCTATTTCCGGTACCTTTCCCACCCCGCACGTGTTGTGGTTGATCGCAAGATTGTCAGGTAGGCAATCACACTTCTTGCATGGCGGCCTTTATTCCCATGAAAACACCAACTAGCTGAGTAGCAGTACTTTTCCAATTAAGGGACCCAGGTGCATGTCTCCAAATGGTGATTGCTAAAACATTTGCGGAGTCTCTAATCTGAAGCATATTTCGATTTTTTATGTGGTTTATCCCAAACCGTGCGCACCACTGCAGTGGATTCGCCTTCCCACGTCAGCTTACGTCCAAATGGAAGATTGTTGGCTCTCAGCGAATACTTGAACCACAGAAAGTCTAGCAACATCCAGGCGAATGGCAGCTACAAACTTTCCTCATTTGGATGACCCCACTCGTCATGCTTACACCGAGTTAATAATAGATCAAGTCGGAACATCAAGTAAAGCCAGGTTTTCCACACCTACTAATGGGCTGACACTCTTCCTCTTCCTCAACTATTACTTTCAAGCGCTCGGAGATGTCCTTAGAAATACCTTATCTCTGCAGAACTATCCTAAGCTTCACGGTAAAAAAAACGGATTTTTCAAGATTACAAGTGCATTTAACCCCTTAATTATAATCTAAATCTTTTCCTAAACTAAAATAACGAAAAAAATAATTTATGTAGCTAAGGAATTAGTAAACAAAAAAGGTTATACTACTATAAAGCGAGAGTTCGAACTTTTCGGGAAAAACGAAACAGTTCGCGGTCTCCCTGCGGCTCCCTTTTGACTAGCTAACAAAACACACACAAAAAATTGAATACAGTACAAGGTCTCATACATATTATATATTAATGAAAAATATACAATTTTATTTATTTTTTATTATTAAAGTTGAACTAGACTTAGAAGCAAGCAATACTAGCGGCGCTGTTGCCAGCTTTAAAATGGCCGCAATTAAAACTTTTACCGTATTTAATTTATTTAAAATAATTTCGCATACATTTTTATATTCATTTGATCTTCTGCATGGTGGTACGCACTGTTGTCGACCCGTACGGAGTCAGTTCATTGATCCAACAATTTTACGATTTCACCAAAACACAGCAACGCGGAGCCAGCTCCTTTAACTGCTGTCGAGAGTGGGCTTGCAATCAGCGGGATTTACTTATCCCATATGAGACAACACCATATGCTGAATATAACCATATATGCATTGTTGAGGAGTTTAATCTCAATCTTAATCTTTTCTATAATTTTGGATGTTGGTCAAACCAGAACTCGAACCCTGATCTTCCGAATGTTAGTGCGCGGGACTAACCACTAGGCTTTTGCGTCCACCAATTAATTCTTATTTAGTGTTAAAAAAAATTGTCGGTAATTTTTGCTATTAATCTGACCAGGATTCGTATATTTGGTCTTTTCAGCTCACTGTATTAAAGACCAATATTTTCACTTGCGTAGAAAGCTCAAAATTAAATAACATCCCACACAGCGCGCCTAAATCGAGATTTCAATGAGTGTTCTCAGCGAGCAGTAGTCCACCCTAGCAGAAAATCCCTTGACTTTTTATTGTGAACGCAGCTTTGCAAAACCGAAACCAGCTTGTGCTCGCTGAACTGATCTAATCTAGATCTAATTTTACTTTAATTCTAGACAACTTAGCTTTTGCCGATGTTCATATTTCACGTCTCAATGTGTATATTTATTTATAAAAAAAAACTTTCATCAATTAATATCATAATAAATTAATTTTATATATTATAAGTATATATAAATTAAACACTTTAATTCAAATTCCTCTCTGAAAACACACACACTCACACTCAAGCTAATACAAGCATATTAAACCGAACGAAACATCTTGCGTAAACAGCAAGAGCACTATTGACATTGCAACACTTTAAAATGCAAACAAACCGAGTATATACTCACACATACATACATATATATATACAGTGTATCTGATTATATGCAAGCAAATAATAATTTAAGCTAATAAATATTTTTAATTTGTAAAATTGCCAAGCCCTCAACGGCATACAGACTTACTTGAGGATGAAATTGCTCGCCACGACTTTGCATACTTACAGAACGACATACATAAATGCATACATATGCATGATATATGCATTTAATGATTAATGAATTTTGGTAAAATACAATTAATATAAATTGGTCTAAATAATTTTGCAATAATATTAATATTAATTAATATAAATATTAATATGAAAATCATATAGAATTCTTCTATTGATCATCATCATTGAATCAAATCGAGTTGCAGTATATTTCACAGTATTTGCAAAATATATATATACACATATATATATATATATGTATGTATGTATGTTTGTATGTATGTATTTATTTATTTAGGCATAAAAGCATGCATTATTTAAATATGCCAAATCACTGAAATCCCCTTCATATTAGTCAATAGACAATTATATTGCACATATTGCGGCATTAGAATTTCCATTTATTCAAAATCAATTCACAGCAGGGAATAATATTATGTTCGTTTGTCTGTGTGAACAGCAGGCAATTTGAAAATAAATAAATTTGAATACCTAAACATATTACCTCAAATGTGCAATCAGATTTAGTTGAGTATGTACACATTATATATATATGTATGTATGTATGCATGTATGTATTAGTTGCACATATGTATGTGTGACTAAAATCAGTTTAAGTTATTACTTCTTCCTGATGCTTTTACAGGCCTTTTATTATTAAATCAAATAAATTTATACAACACGGCAGGAAGTCCCCATGGAATCATTCAAAACTGTGTGAAATGCGCTTGGGACTCGAAATTTTGAATTTATTAATAATTCAAAAACTATTTATTATACTTACAACTATATACCTTATATATGTATATAGAGATCTAATTGGACTCTTAAAGATTCGGTGTTGCTCAAAGCTTAGCCTTACTCATTTGACTTGAAATTGTTTCTATGGCACCCGGAAATATTATATAATATTAGATCAAGTAAGAAGTTCGTTCAGTTTTTTTTATTGATTTTTCAAAATATAACAACTTCATGTACATTTGTCCAATATAAGTCAAATATACGCCGCATCGTTCGCAAACTTGTTGCCAACAAAATGCCAACTTCATTATATCCCTCTCGTGGAAGGCTGCGTCCCTATAGGCATAAAACTCGGACAGCCAATTTTCACAGGCCTCTCTTGTGGCCAACTTCACACCATTAAGTGCGTTCGTCATGGACAGGAAGAGATGGTAATCACTTGGTGACAGGTCCGGACTATAAGGTGGGGACATTAGGACCTCCCATCCGAGCTCATGGAGCTTCTGGCGCGTCACCAAATATGTGTGTGGGTGGCGTTGTTCTGATAGAACACAATTCGACCTCTGTTGATCAAAGATGGCCTCTTCTGGAGGAGTGCTGCCTTCAAGCGGTCCATTTGTTGGTAGTAGATTGCTGAAATGAGCGTTTGGCCATAGGGGAGCTGTTCGTAGTAGATGATTCCTTGCCAATCCCACCAAACACACATCAAAACCTGGTGCACCTTTGACATCGAAATCACCGGAAGGAAACCTAGCAAACCACTTTAGTGCTACACGTTCGTTTACAGTATCGGGCTCCTAAGCTTAATTAATTTTTTCAGCCGCTTCGGCTGCTTTTTCGCCTTGATCGGAGAAAGCTTGTAAAATATAGCGAATTCGCTCTTTGCTGGTGTTCATCTTTGAAGAGCGCTCACAACGTACTAAGTCAATCAATCGAAAAACTGTCAAAGACAGGCTTTTAGCGTGAATAAACACGTTTTCAGCGCCGTACAGTATGACATGATACGATACGTAACACTAGTACTATGGACAATAACGACATTTCTTAGCTAAAAACCGAACGAACTTCTTAACTGATCTAATAGATATTGTATATATAAATTATTTTTACATAATTGGCTCTTTGTAACCGCTGAAGAGATTTTCCACCGAGCTCCTTCTCCAATTTGTGGTTTGCGTCTTGATGTTTTTCCAAAAAATGGAGATTATACTAAACCTCGGAACGGCTGATGGCTTTATCGTAAAGAGTCTGCATTTCATGTCAGAAATACTCACTGGTATTAAGTAAATTTTATAAAAATATGTTAAAAATGTGTCCAATACTTCATTTTCCTTACAGTCAATAGGTTGTGCGACAGCGAACCCTTTCA